TTGCATTTGTCTGACCTGGATTCGACTTGCACAGCTTAATGATACTGTTCATGGTCATCTGCAGGTGCACATGGGCCTGTTTGATGTTGGTAAGCGCCGTCAGGTGCCGCAGCAGGCACTCCTACCTGACGAGACACCTCACTTCGGCCTGGCCCTCAGTGTGGTTCAAGATGGCTGCTTTGCGTGACTGCTGGGGCTGCGTGTAGCACTGTATGATTCGGCACCAGCTTACGCACTGGCACCTCCAACCCAGAGAGCATGTGAAGACACACTGCAGCATACACGTGGCACGATGCAATTCGTATGCAATATTCGAGGTTTCGGGCAAGTACTTTGGAGAATAGCTGGGTGCGTGATACGGTTGTGGTTTGTGAATCTTGCTGAGACCCGCTGGGTTATTGAAGTTCCAGCAGCGTCAGCCTGCAAAGGTGCACGACAATCCATTGACGAAACGATGTCGCAGCATGGCCGGAGTTCTCTTATCGAGTCCGCCGCCCAATTGCAATACTTGCTTCGCTTCGAGGCGGAGGGCACGTGCTAGCGAGCCCCCCCCCCGTCACCCCCCGCCACTGTCAATGCTCCTGAAGCATGCAACCCTCAATCCACTACTTTTCAGGAGGTCTCGGACAGATCATGATGAACCATTGGTGACTACTCTAAGCTTTCGACTGGCAAAGGTCCACTATAATTTCGGCTTGTTGTTGATGGTTCGGAGATGTCGTTGGAGGCGTTGTTATGTGCTGTGCGCTCCTGCAAGAACCTTCGGTGAATTTGCAATCGAACCGCTGAACATCTACCAGGCCTTGTAGCGCATCGCTTTGGGGCCAGCGTTGATCGCTTGACCGGGCTTCGCTGAAGGCAGATCGCGGGATGATGGCCCAGATCATGTCCAACCGCTGCGTGAAGGTCGATGCCGCTCGGGGTTGCAACAATGGCAATCATCCTGAATCACTGAAGACGTTCCGGAAACTCCCCAGCTGCCGGTTGGACGCCTTGCACTGGGTGCCTTGTGCTTCTCCTTCGCCTTGAATTGTCCCCCTCCTTGCGCCAAGGAACTCCGCGTGTATTTCAAAGGTATCTACTCCGAAGAGATCAGGGCCGTGGACGGGGTCAGCATGGTCATGTCAGAACCCCAGCGTACACACGCATGATGCCTGAATTTTAAAGGGTGGTCTGTCTAAGTATCCGCCCTCTCATGAGCAAGGTTATCCCTGTACTGCCAGCTTCCACAGCAAGACCAGACATGACCAGACATGCCCCCAAAACAATATTAGCCACATCATTCATTCCGCCAGCCCGAAAAACATGACCGATCCCTGTACTGTAACCTTCAGGCTCGCAGGGTCACGGACGCCGAGTTGTATTCTCAGCCAGTTGCCATAATGGCTCGTAGAAACTGTGCCGAAGTAATTATGCGGGGTGGATAGAGTGTTTTTTGTGCCAACTGACGTTCGCGTTTCGCAGGGCCGTCACAGCATGTTGTAGTTTAGCACTGGTCATTTGAAGGGCCAGCAAGTGGCGCAAGGGTACCCTTCTGTACCCTCACATGCGGCGAAGGTTTCCTGATGAAATCTTCACGCTATTGGGTCACAATGGAGCAGGCGGTCGATCCAGGAATCACAGCGGTTGCTCGTGAGCAAATGTCAGATGCCAGGCAAGTCCACTACAATGTCAGCGCTTTGTGGGCTTATACCTCCAACATCAGGCTTCAACAGTTGCAGGGAGTCACTGGGATGCAGGATGCAAACCCCGTTCCTTGCTGTCGCCCACGATCCAGGCAAAATCTCGGCATTTGGCTTGGACGTTCCCAAGGACGTGTGAAGCAGGGCTTCTTTTTCGTCTTGTCAAAGCCAAGAGGAGTTGCCAGAGTGAGCGAGAATCCAAGTGCTTCTGTTCATTGCGCTGAGGACATGGTGGAGGTGCGGAAGTCAATGGGCTTCTAGATGGCAACAGTCATTCATCATGTTGTTTGTTTCAGTCCTGGCGCAGCCAAGGCTTTTGCCCACAGCACGATGTTTTGTTTCCAGTCGTGGTCTCAGCAAAACGCCCGTAGCCTTGCAGTCACCTCCTTTGTTTGGCATTGCGCAGTGTGCCAAAGCAGTGGACGTCTAGCTTCCGGCGTTTCAGCTCCAAGTGGTAGTGTTGTTTTGCTTTCGCTTATTGCACCAGGGTGTTTGTAATTGCTGTTGGTATGCTTGACTTACACAGCTCTTTTTTTCAATCTGTTTCTCAGGAGTTGTCGGTGGTAGAACACATCTCGCTCTTCACGACTTTGGCAGGGCGGTCAATAAGCCAGCAACCCAGTTGAGAACGAGGGTGTATGCTCGCCTGGCAGTTTGATGTCGCATGCTTTTCAAAAAGTGCGGGTGCGTCATCAATCGGATTAAATTATTCTACGCGTGTGGTTGAAATTGCAAACCGCCCTTATCAGGTTTGGACATAAAGTAGGAGCTAATTTATACAGATGCGGAATAAGCCGAATACGACATCTTCTCAGGCAGCGAGGCGTCCGTGTTCCAACTGGTCGCAGATGTTGGTCTCGGCTCCCGCTACCTGGCGGATCAGTCGACATGATGATACTTCATAGGTGAATGAGTGGTGCATGTAGCAATGTAGCTGCGAATCACCCCTCAGCAATCAGGTGCGAACTTCTTGGTCACTTCCCTGTCCGGGGGCATGAAGCGCAAGCTGTCCGTCGGCTTGGCATTTTCAGGAGCGTTATGCCGAGCGATGCTGGGTCTTTGGTTTGGTGACGGTGAGTGTGCGAGCCACGAGCGAGCGAGAGAGAGAGAGAGAGAGAGAAAGAGCAAGCAAGAGCGCGTGCAGAAGAAGAATAATAAGAAGAAGAATAAGAAGACAGCGAGAGAGCGACAAAGCGAGAGAGCCAGAGAGCAAAAGAGCCAGAGAGGGAGAGAGGGAGAGAGCGAGACAGGGAGAGAGGAGAGAGCGAGACAGGGAGAGAGAGGGAGAGAGGGAGAGCTTCAGAGAGCACCACATCCACAACCACTGAATTTGAAAACCCCTAATCACACCACGGGCCGCACTCGCCTACACACTTGCCTCCAAATCCTGGATGGTATGGAACAGGACAGCCACCCCACTCCACGGGGAAAGCCGCCGCACGCCACCGCAGCAACGAACGAAGCCGGGGTAGGCATGCCCATCCCACGCTGGCCGGAGCTCCACACCAGCAGGGGACACCATTACAAAAGCCGCAGCAGGACATGGCAAACATGGAAGGCCGGGAAACAACCGGCAAATTTGGGAGGGGGGGAGGGGATGTTGCGGCGGAGGACGCCCTGGCCACCCTTGACATTGACAACCTGGTCGAAACAGCTAGGGCCAGCACCTACACAACTGGGCCCCGACCGGACCGCTCACAAACGCAAAGACCACATAACTGAAAGACATCTCGTCCGTGACGCAGATAGCCTGTGATGCGCACGTTACGGTAATCAAGGCACCACATGGTCTCAACCGCCCACCAAACCCACGCAGCACGAGGGCAATCACCACAACCGCCGACGCTCGCACGCACGCACCCATGGCAGCAGGGGCACAAGAAGGGTAGGACCTGCAACCCTATCCCCCAACTGGTCTTAACAAGGCTGCCCAAATACTCCACCGCTTGGTTCCTTGCTTAGAACAAGAGGTAGCCCAACGTTGTGGTGCCCATCAACACTGTCGAAATATGGGCGGCTGGAAACTGCTATCTGGAGCCGAGCAGTTCAGGATGACACACCTGTCAACCGGAGCCCCCTGCCTCTGCTCCTCCCACCCGATCACCTCTGAAAGAATTGGAGCAGAAGAAACACCCAGGGGCCCAGGGAGGACACAGCCTCACCCTCAAGCATAGAAGCCCGACGCCAAGACTATTCAACTCCAACTTTGGGGAGAAAACGCACTACGAACACACTACACCGATGACCTCACCGATGACGCGACCAGGGAGCAAGCCATGAGGGAACGGTACGAAGAGTCAGGTGGAGGAAGTCACCTTCTTGTACTAGTCTCGGGTTAGTATCCTTTGAGTCGCTATGCCCTAGAAAGGCGGAACAGCGTCGTTGCGTAAATTTGCTCTGAAGACAAGGCCAAGGAGCCACCAGAAAACTAAGGGGGCACTCGAAAACCGCGGGTCCCCCCTACCGACTGTGATCTGGGACTCGCGCGTCGAAGCTCCACGGCATTAAACACTGCACGTATTTCCCAGCAGCACCCGGAAATGCAGGCGAAAGTCAGTGTTGTTTCCGGTTTGGTCCGATTTTTCCCACCTTGTACGTGTCACGCCGACTGCGAACTTTGTGTGCGGAGCGGAGGAACCCCGTCTCCGCATGAACAGCAGAAGAAGAGACCTTCTCAGGTGCGAATAATTTTCAGAAGAAGAGGAAAAAGCAAAACGAGAGTCTCAGAGACAGACTAAGCATCACCCCGAAGGGAAGGACGAGAGAGAGAGAGAGAGAGTCAGACAACGTAGCCATTTTGGCTCAAGTCTGGGGGGAGGAACCCGCCCCCGAACCCTGGGCTTGAGCCGCCGCGCACCTCTTCGTTCAAGCTTCGGAGCAGCTCGCCTCCTTACACACCCTAATTGTGGTTGCGTTTGGGGGGGTTAGAGCTGTTTGCCATTTGGGGCCTGGCTTGCGCTCGAGGGTTGACCCTAAAAACAGGCGTGCTGACCCGGGGCTCACACAGCGAACAAAGTAGACGTGTCCAGCAGTGTGTCGCTTGGTTTCTCAGGCGTTGGTGAAGGGGCCTTGTGTGCAGTTCGTTGTTTTACACATTCTTGGGGGGAGATGAAAACCGCTGTAAGAGTGAAGCCATGACCCAACCCGACATCACCTGCGTCACCTGCCTGATGGACGGGCGCAGCACCGCAACCACCTCGGCGTCTACTACCAGAACAGTCCCGGAGGGAAGGGGTCAGAGAAGAAAACCAAGCAGTCCCAGAAGGGATGGGTTGAAAGCACGAGCCCGCAACCACTTCGGCGTCTACTACCAGAACAGTCCCGGCCCCGGGAGGAAGGTCGAAAACGCAAGTCGGCGTCTGCTACATGGTGGTCGGGGGGGCGAGATGAGACGACACCTACACTAGAGGGTCTGAGCCAAGGCTTCAGCCGTAAAGGGGCGCGATGTACAGAGGCAGCGCAAGTTGTTTTCTCGAGGGGGGGCCTTGGAGGATTCGGGGATTTCAAGTTCAGGAGGGAGTCAGGGGTCCGGTGTTGTCACAGGGGGTAAAGCAGCTGTCACGCGCATAATAGTAAAACACACCATTAAAAAGGCCGAAGGCCAATTGAGTCATGTGATGCAGGGCGTCCGTTCCCTAGTGGGGCCCGGGTGCTGGTAGTATTGTGGGGGAGCTTGGTTGTTGGGGACGGACGTCTACAGGAGATAGCGAAGCAGTTAGAGTGTCGAAAAGCCGCGGCGAGCCAATTAAAGGGCGGGGCTGTGTCCAAACACTCCCACCACCAAGATAGCAACCGGGAACCCAAGAGAGGCCCAGGGTGCATGTTTTTCTCGCGCGCAGGCTTTAGTTGTAGCACAGAGCAGGTTGGACACACGTGAGGGGGTGTAGTGTATGGGGGTAGTACCTTTGTTTGGGGGCCAAGAATGACAGTCCAACCTAGTGCGAGCCGGAAGAGCGCAGTCTCACACTCGGAAGGCGAGATGTGAAGATGGGGAAGATGGGGTGGTGGGGGTAGTGGTTAGAGGACACTTAGTGAGGGTTGGGGGCAGAGAGCATCACATCATTGTTTTCCACTGTGCCCGAGTACCGCTCCGGAAACAGGGGCGGGCGATGACGCCCGGAGGTTTCGGCCTCCACGCCCTCCGAAAGAAAGAAAGAAAGAGTCAGACAACTGAAAAGCAGTAGTCTTTGGTGAAACACACCTTTCCGGTGGCCAATGCGCTACTCCGTGTGACAACGAACCGAGCAGCGGGCCGTCGTGGCCGGGGTCCCTCGGGACCCTTTTCGCTAGGCAGAAGAAGAGAGAGAACCCAGCGTGCAGGGGGTCTTCGGACTCCTCATGCCCCGTAGAAGAAGAAGAAGAAGCCGATAGGTGCACTGCGCGGGGGAGGGGGGGTGCGGCTGCGCCATCAGGCCCCAACGGAGAGAGCGAGAAAAAAGAGGGAGTTAGAGAGGCTATGAGAGGTCAGGGGGCTTCGGAAGGCGGTTCGGAGCGGGTTCAGTCCAGGAATTTTTAAGGGCAAACTCAGAAAGATTGGGCCAGGCGAAGGGGAGGTCTGCGAAGGTTCCTGAAAGAAGGGTCTGAAGAGTTCCGGGAGTAAGGCGTCGGGGGGAATATGGCGAAGGGGGATGCTGAAAGGACGTCCTCCCGCTGTGCCTCCCAGGCCTGCCCTGCAGGTAGGCGCGCCCATACGCGCAGAAGCAGAAGAAGAGAGAGACAGCAAGGGAGAGCCAAAAAGCCTACGGCGCTAGCGGGAGACGGAGCCTTTCGAAGGAAAGACGAGAAAATACGGTCGTCATGAGGGGCCATTGATCTCGTTGCTCACAGGAGATCCGAGTCTCGTTGTGCTCGACGAACCCACCAGCGGGATGGACCCCTTCAGCCGGCAGGGGCCACAGCGCAAAGCACGAATCTTTCAATTTATTGCTTTGACCGAAAAGAATTGCAGCATCAAGAGTTTCCAGGCGAGCTTTGTGGGACTTCTTGAAATTACGACGTCCCTGAGCAGCAGTGATGCAATGGCTTCGGGGCTTCCACATGGCCTCCGACGTAGACACACACACACACACCCACACCCACACCCACACCCACACCCACACCCACACCCACCCCCACCCCCACCCACCCCCGCCCCCACACCCGCACCCACACACCCACACACCCACACACCCACACACCCACACACACACCCACACACACCCACACACACCCACACACACCCACACACACCCACACACACCCACGCACACCCACACACACCCACACACACCCACACACACCCACACACACCCACACACACACCCACCCACACACACACACACACCCACCCACACACCCACCCACACCCACACCCCCACCCACACCACACACACACACCACCCACCCACACCCACCCACACCACACCCACACCACACCCACAACCACACCACCACACCCAACCCACACCCACGCCCCCCCACACCCACACACCCCCACACCCCCACACCCCCACACCCCCACACCCCCACACCCACACACCCACACACCCACACACCCCACACCCACACACCCACACACCCACACACCCACACACCCCACACCCACACACCCACACACCCACACACCCACACACCCACACACCCCCACACACCCACACACCCACACACCCACACACCCACACACCCACACACCCACACACCCACACACCCACACACCCACACACCACACACCCACACACCCACACACCCACACACCCACACACCCACACACCCACACACCCACACACCCACACACCCACACACACACACACACACACACACACACACCCACACCCACACCCACACACACACACACACACACACTAAACACACTTAACACACTAAACACTTTAAACACACTTAACACACTTAACACACTTAACACACTTAACACACTTAACACGCTTAACACACTTAACACACTTAACACACTTAGCACACTTAGCACACACACACAAACGCTACATGCACAACATACCCAAGGTTACGATTGAGCCCGCTGCTGCACAACTGCATGGACAAAGCACCGCACCGAACGTTTTTCAGAACCATGCTAAAGGATTCGAAGACGGGGCGCTTGACAATCATGTGGAGCATACCGGAACACCAAGTAGCACCTTGATGGCTCTTATCAGTCCGCAACCGCAGCCTAATGCCGTGAGAACATGAACAGCTGCAAAGCCGTGGAGTCCGAGACAATGTTTAAATTTGCGCATGGCAGGATTGCCAGGAGTCGGCTTTGTTTGCTCTTGCCTTTTTCACTTTGGGTTCAGGGTTCAGGCTGCACTGTTTGTGGCTAAGTATTGCAGCAAGCCATACTTCCGACTCCCGCTGGTGAGGCCTTTGCCTGCGCTTTGTTGCAGAGTCGGCGACCCATGCATCAACATGCGAAGGAGTTGTGAAGGAGTGTTGGTCTAGGGGTTTGTGCATAGGTTCTCCAGTGTGGAACTCATGCTTGAGAAGGGTTGGCGGAGAGGTACCTTCAGGAGCCTCCCGCATGACGATTGCATCGTTGGAGTTTCGCTGAACGTTCTCAAGTTGTCGCGGCCGTGCGTTCGCAAGTATTGCAGCAAGTGTCCAAGCCAGCCAATAAGCCTTGAGACCTCAATGACTCAACTACCACGAGCCGGTGCTCGGTACGGTGCCCTTTTGTTGCGAAATAAAGGCGAAGCACTTTCGAACCTCAGCCGCTGCAGGTGTTGCCTGTGACAACCCAGAGATGCGCGTAAGGCCCAGCCTGGGAAGATTTTGCTGGGAAAGTTGAGGGCTTCAAGCCCCAGTCACAATGAGCACCTTGATTGAAAAATCTCTTCATCATGATCAGGTGAGGAGTATGAATAAGCACGGCTCTACTGAGAGCTCCCCAAACTGTGCACTTGGGAGCCCAAATGCGGAACTGAGCTTCAAGCCCTGTAGGTGTGTATTGGTCGTGGGTATGTCACTGCTTTGCAATTAGTAGCCAATCATATCGGTAAGAGATTCAATGATATATATATATATATATATATACGTCGCTCTGCTACGCAAACTTCGAGAAGGACGGGGACGCCTCGATCGAGGTCCATTCTTCCCCATATGATCTGTTTGCCGAGATGGCGGAAGAAAGTTCCATGACGCCATAGCTGATCAAAGAGTGGCCTTATCCAAAGCAGAATCACTTCGGTGTCGGCGGAAAGTTGGGAACTCTGTCCCCAAACACCTGCCATGACAGGTGGCTCCAAGAGATGTGCAACTCCAGAGCCAGAGGGGGCTACAGAAGCACCAGAAAATGTTGTTGTTTTCGAGAGACGATTGCATGATGACGTCCGTGGGGCCACGAGTTTCAGGAGACATTTTGGGACTGCACTTTTCCGATGCCACCGTGAAAGGAGTAGATTACGCAAGCTAAACGGTCAATGGAAGCTCTTCAAAAAGCAGAACTTCGACATGGAGGACAGTGGATCTTGGTGTCGTCAGAAAGTAGGAAGCATCGCCAAAGCTCGAAAATGCGGATTTCCCACTTTGGTTCTTCAGGAGAACAGGCATCCCAGCACAGGCCGCCGGACCAGCAGGTGCACAAAAGGCCCCAGATGTCAAGGTTGCCGAAACCTACGTGCGACAGGTTGTGGACTACGCACCGCAACAAGGCTGAAGCAAACACAACGAAGCCCAACACCAATGCAACGAGGGCCCTTGCAAACGGCAGGCACGACTCTTCTTCCGAAAATGGAAGTCTGACTGATGGTTTTTGCAGAAAGCGGCATCACCAATAACAAATATGCAACATGTATGTATGCATGTATGTATGTATGTATGTATGTCTGTATGTCTGTATGTCTGTATGTCTGTATGCATGTATGTATGTATGTATGTATGTATGTATGTATGTATGTATGTATGTATGTATGTATGTATGTATGTATGTATGTATGTGAGGGTGTATTTCTCCAACATGGGGCATCGCAGCTGGTGCCGTGATACATCATAGCGCAGCAAGAGATCTGGCAGACATGTGCTGAGGAACCTTGGGCTGTAGCAAATGGTGTCTGAAGCAACGCACCGTAGAAAAAGGCTCTCAGCATCCGCTTTTGGAGAGTAGTGTCGGCTTCGAGATTTGGGCCGGGGTTCGGGGTTAAGGTCTACTTCTCAAGACTTGGACAGCGTCAGGATCGGCGAGATTGGCGGCGTGGAGGCGATTATCCAGGCACAAGGGACAATTTTCTTGTTGCCGTTAGCCATTTTTTCACATCCTAAGCCAGAGATAGCCAGAGGCCTCAAACCCCACAACGCCAGAGCCCTTGGCACTGTCCTAACTCCAACCCCCGATCTTCAAGCATCCCAGAAAGCACAGCCATGCAGAATGGTAAAGCCGACATGCTTGACTTCATTCATTTCTTGGCATTGCCCTTGCCGAGGTGATGCGGTCGAATCCACAGGCAGCAAATATCCAAGCTTTCGGCACTTCCGCGCTGCAAAGTGCCTTGGATATGACCTTCGTGCCTCACCCACTTTTTTTGTCACAACAGGCTTCGACTGTTCCCAGTTTAGCAGATCTAAGAACGTTTCTGAAAGGGCTTGCCGGTTAAGGCCAGCTTCGGAACTCCAGAAGAATCAATTTTGCCAAGCAAGCCTAGGAGTTCTTGAGTATGTTTCCGTATTGGGATCGGCCCGTAAGCATAGGAAAATTCGCTTCAAAACCATCTCTAGGATAGCGAAGATCGTGCTGAAATAAAAGGCCACATGTCTGAAACTTTTTTCGGGGCCGCCTGGGCTGGCATATCAGTAAGGCCTTGCGGTGCAGAACGTCGATAACGTCCGGAGGTGCCACAAATACAAGGTGGGGACGGGGGAGGGGCGGCTGGTTGCTGGAGCGAGTTAGGGCAAGAGGTCGGATTACCACCCATGGGATTTCATGTTGGCACCTGGCGTGCTCAGGCCATTACAGCTAGAATTTGTGTTAGAACTTAGTAGCTAGCAGTAGTGCTGGTAGACTCGCAGTCGTAATAATAGCAGTAGTATAGTCTAGTCGTAGTAATAGGAAGAAGGTAGGCTGTAGGCGAAAGGCGACAGGTAGCAATCATTCTCGTGGGTGTGCGTATGCATTAGCATAGTAGTAGAAATAGAAAACGTGTAAAAGTAGTAGTGGTCGGAATAGTACCAAAGGACAATCAATAATTCTCTTAAGCGCTAGGGCATATTCCTGTTAATTGGGACGGGCAACGAAACCCACCTATGAGAGGTGGTGGACCTTGTGGCGTCGGCCATGGAGGCTCACGGAGGGAGCAAATTGGAATCCTACCCTTTGCCTGAAGCTCCAGGTTATGGACCCAAGACCGAATCCTGAGACCCAGAGAGAAGAACTCTACAGCCCTACAGCCCATCAGACCCCAAAAGCCGCCAAGAGCCCGATTTTTAAACTTACGAGTTTCCGGATTTTACGGAAGTTTGAGGGGCCTGGGCGGCACATAGTGGTTTGCTTTGAATTGACGACGTTCAGTTTGTTTCTTGACATGGAGGACGTATTGCTCTTTATTTGCTTGTGTTCAACCTCAGGCACCCCTACGCACCCCTCAAATTTTGGAGTCTTTGGAGTTTTAGGGTTCAGGCGGTTCAGGTTTAGGGTTGGAATAATGGAAATTTGACAGCCCCAATTCTCATTGCAAGAAACCAAAGCAGACCCTAAATCCTCAGCCTTAGACCCAAAGGCGCATCCCTACTCGCTGAAGCTTCGCGAGTTTGGCGAGTTGTTTGGGCCCTTGGCGGGGTTCCAATGTTACGAAATCCGAAATCGTAAGCCGCAACCATTCGTTAAGCCCAAACAGGCTTGATCTTTTCCCCAAGAAACTCGGGGCTATCAATCCTTGAAGTAGAAGGTCCAGTACTGAAACCCCCAAGAGGATGTGGCAGTTGAGGGCTTCTGGAGTGTTTGGTTTTCGTGAAGCTTGTCGGTGCCCTTCCCCTTGCTTGGGGCTGGGCGCGTGGGGTGGGTTTTGGAGATGTGGTGCGTGGGTGTGGGGATGTTGCCTCAGATGATACAGGCGCAACACGAAGCAGTGAGTCACTGAGGAAACCCTTGCCCTGGACGAGCCCATACCTAGGGCTCTAAGAATTTGGAAGTCCATTTCTCCCAGGAATCTTTTGCATCTTTTGAAGGTCCAAGCCCCCCAATTCCAAAACCCGCGAAATTCAGTGAAACCCAGCAGGCCTCAGCAGGCTCCAAACCCATGGGGCTGGAGATTCCTAGACCGCCTTGATTCCTGAGGTTAACGGAAACGATTGAAGGCTAATGGCCTGCAGTTGATCGACACCCGGTGTAGGGTACAAGAGGGTCTTCCCCTCTCTCTGTCTTCTACTGTTGTTCTTTCTTTCTTTCTTTCTTGCTTTCTTTCTTTCTTTCTTTATTATTTTCCACTTCTCTCTTTTTTTGTTTTCGCTCTCTCTCTCTCTCTCTGCCTCAGTCCCTGTCGCAGGGGGGCTTTCGGGATTTTTAATTGGGGTTGCCATGTAGGGTCTGGAGGAGCGGGTTCTGTCACTAGTCATTGGGCATCCGGACAAGCCTAAGCCCATCTTAGCCCCGTGCATTCCCGTATGCCCTCAAAACCCAGATACCTGTGTTGCGGTGTGTAGCTCAGTGTGGGGCCTCCGCTCTGTTAATGATTCCTGGACCCATAGTGGTCTTCTTAGCCCTCTCTTTTTAATATCCGCGCAGACTGCTTGAAACCTGGGCAGACTGACGGGAAATGGAGCCGAGTTGCAGCTCAAGACGTTTCGGGTCCAGGGCTTGAAGGCTTGGCCGGAAGATTTAGACTCTAGGCTCCCCGAACTCCAGGGATGTGGATTTTTCTTCCACCCTCGCAAGTGTGTGCAAGTTGGACCCCAAAGAGCTGTGCCGCTCATGAACTGCTGTAAAGTATAGTGTTCGACGTAACCCATGTAAAGGTCCTACAAAGTGGTGTCGGGACTTGGGGGCAGCTTCAGGCTTGGTAAAACAAATCGGGAAAGCTTCGGGCTTGAGCCAGAATTGAGGACGGGATGCAAAGCCCTGCGAGGGCCTCCAGTGAATCATTATTCCGTGTGCCATGCCGTGTGCCGTCGTGTTCTCAAGGTCTTGGCGGGGTCTGTAAGGATAAGCCGCGAATGCAGCCTTGATGAGAGCATTGACTCGCCTGATCTGTTGACAGAAAATAGCCAACCATCCACTGAAGAAGTGGCTCTATGCATGCAGGGAGTTCTCAAAATGCAGGTCCCAGTTCGCACCTCGCAGCTACAAGGGAGCATTCCCATCTGAAAAAAGCCAATCGAGCGGACCCGAATTTTGAGAAACCCCCAATACAAGGGGTGTTTGCCACCATCGTGCCTATCAGCGCCATCTTGTCTTCGCTTGGATTGGCGCTGCCTTGCTTCAGGCGGATGTTCGGGTTTGAGGTTGTCCAAATTTTCAGGAATGTAAAACCCTGCAGCATGGATTCGGGTTTGAGCTTGAGTGCTTAAAGCACAGCCATCAGCGCTACCTTGTATTTTGTACCTAAGCCTGCCTTTATCCTCGTTCTCCTGTGCCTTTGTCCTCATGGATGTCCTTGGGCCTGCACAATGTTTCAGGTAGTGTTTCTTCCGGGTTAGCGACTCGGGGTTTTTGGCGTCGCACTGAGCATGCAATGTCGGGACATGAGCCCTAGTCACTCCGGGAGATCCTCAGCAGGCCGTTTCAGCCTAGGCAAGTGGTCTACTTGCCAGTTTGAAGCGAGTAGTTCCAGAGTCGTGACATGTCTGCAATGCACACCAGCCCAATGTTCTGACGAGGTGCAGCCATGCAGCAAAACATGGGCTACCTTCCGCCGCAGGGGACCCACTTCCAAGCAGTAGGTCGAATTAAGCATCATTGAGCCGTGAAACTTTTGATCCAGAGGATAGGATAAAACTTTGTCGAGTGGCTTGGAGGTTGTTTTGGAAGGCTTTCGGGCCTGAGGCTTCCTTTGTCCATGATAACAGGCCCGATGGGTGCGGATGGGTGACGCGGGGCATGTAGACATCCATTGAAACGGTCGGAGGTAGTAGGGCACTTGTTGAAAGATGCAGGCCCATCTGTGCACCAACGATCGTATGGCCCCTTAGGGCAGAACTCAAGGAAGGCTGTGGCAATGAGTTCGATCACCCCAAGGTACATAGCAAGAAAGCTTTGTGCAGCCTCATCAAAGCTTGATGTCCCCATGAGCCCCAACCCACCCTTAATGATCCCCGATCCCTTCCCAGGCCTCCGCCTCCACCACCACCGCAGATGCCACCAGGGCATCAGCATCAACTTCAGCACCAGCAGGCAGCAGGTGCAGGCGAGGGTTCAGGGTTGAGGGCTCCCGGTTGTTAACGGTTCTTGTGAGATTGAACTTGACACGTATGGTCTGCACACACACACACACACACACACGCATGCAGGAGTGCTTTCATGGAAGGGAAGGGGTACTATAGTGCAAGCAAGTTTCTTTCAACAGGGTTCTTTCTCCTCGCATCCTGAAGAAGGCGAGTTGGAGGCTTCATCATGTACTTCGAACGTTCAGGGTCCAGTGCCCGAATCCTAAACCACAAGAAGCCTCCTCCTCAAGAGACACAGGCAGCGAGTCATTCGAGATCTTGTTCTGATTCTCAGCATGGCAGCACCCAGAACCCATTGTGATACCCCCCCAAAAGTGCTACGCTAGCACCATGTCGCGTTGCGCAAGGAGTCTACGAGCAGCCAGTAGAGGCCGGGTGAGGTTCTGCTTCATCACCGCCCCCTGACCCATTCACCCCTTCATCGCATTGGCCAAGCCTCGGAAACCCTCACACGTAAGGAGGTTTGAGGTTCTGTGAGCGAAGGTTCCAGGTTCGAGTTGCATGGGTGCCTTGATGGGATGAAGTTTTGGCGCCAGTGTTTCCTTCTGTGCACAGGCCTGTAGGACTGCAGCTCCGTGCTCAATGAAAGTGAAACGCACCTGCAAACCCTAAAAACTCAGTTCCTACCGACTGCAGGGATTTGAAGAGAGGTTGACAGCTGGCACTATTCAAGATTCGACGCCCCTTTTATACTTGACTCTTTTGAGCCTTCAAGCCGGCACAGATCCACCAGTTTATCGCAAACTACCCGGAGACCGAGACCGACGCGCAGCAACCTTGGACCACATACGGTTACTTGCGACGTTCCAGACTGCATGCTAAATTTAAGGTGCTTCTGAAGATTCCCTTGGGACCCTTGGTAGAAGGAACATAGCCCCCCAAAATAACCTACAAACCCCACTAACTCCTTCAGGGGTTAGGGCTTGCCGCCCACCACCCCCACCCCCCTCCCCTTTTTTTAGGGCACCATCTCTTTTCAGGGCTGAGGGCTCGCCAGTCAACATCTCTCCTATTTAGGGTTTAGGCTTAGGGCTTGCCCCAACATCTTCTTTAAGGGATTGGGCCTGGCCACCCGCCCACTCCTTCAGAGTTCCTAAACTGGGTCCTAAACCCTGCTTCGGGCTCGCCAACCAACATTTCAGGGCTTGCCACCCAGCATTTGCTTTAGGCTTTAAGGGTTTGGGGCTGGCCAAAACACCCACGCTGGCTTGTCGCCCAGGCTCCCAAGTTAACTTTTTTCGGGTTCTCAAGTTGGCGTTTCAGGGACCGAACCTGTAAGATTTGTTGGGGTTTACGGGGTTGATTTAAGATGTCCTTGATCAGAACCAACTCAACATCTGCAAGCCCCAACCCCCGAACCAACAAGAAGCAGTAACGGGATCTTTCGAGGCCGGAAGATACCAGACCGCGCGTCCAGGCGACGCACATGCTAGGGGCCATGAAATCTTCAGTTCTTTTTGTTGAAGTTCTCTTGGGTGGCTGCAATTGATGTGTGTTCAGGGTTTCAAGGGTTTCCGGTTCGGTGGGGGGGGGGGGTGGGGCTTTAAGGTTCAAGGGGTCTGCAGTTGAACTGACTGACGCCTGAACCCAAGACTTTGCAAGCTCAAAGCTATGCCTACCGCAGGATCTGGGCATTTGGATTTTGGGGCTTCAACTCTTGAGAAGAATTTCGGCTTAGCGTCTGGACTGTCCACTTGTGGCGTGAGGTAGATGCAAGGTCAATCAAGGAAAGCGTTCCTGGAGCCGCTGCCCCTTAAAGCCTTAAAGCCTTTGCGTACGCTCGCTCATCTTAAAGCGAGACGTAGCGCCTGCTCACTTGGTAAGAGACCTGGCGAGGAGGCTACAAAGTTCCTCGCTCCGGACACCACACTGAACGTCATGCCCTCCATGGCCCGGCGCCCTTTTGAGGGGCCTTTTGGGGCTTTTTGGGGACTTGTTAAGAGGTTAAAGCGTGTTGAGGCGCAGCTAAGGCTTGGACTTTGTTGAAGGGATTTGTTTGCTTTAGGGCTTTGGGGGTGCGTCTCTGTGCAAAGTGTCTCTATGGGGGTGGGGTCTTCGACGAATCGAGTTCCGAGTTCTACTGTACGTGGGCTATGGGGTTGAGAATTTGTGCAGTGCTTCCGCCCTTCGAGCTTGAGGCTTGGGCAGTAGCGCCCACATTTAGTTTTTAGAGCAAGACCAAGCCTTGGGCTTTAATAACTGGAAATATTTCACCCTGAACTCCTCGAAAAGCAGAAGGTCATGTGAGCTTCGAACCACGCTAGGTTTTGTCGCTCGTGTGTTTGTATCTGTGCGTTTTTGTTGTTGGCTTCCCAAGCACTTGACTCAGCATGATTTCGATACAGCGTGGGTTTCGGTTGCGAGGTGTTTGGAGGTTTTTTTCGGACCTTTTTTTGAGCTGCCAGGCTGGAGACTTGCTTATGGCGCTCAGCGAGGCGGAGCGAAGCCTGAAGGGCCTCTTCGCACTCCTTCGCACACTCCTTCGCATCCTTCACACTGAAGCCTAACAAGAGCGGTTCACTGTTCTGTGCTCTCTTTGGAGCCCGCCATTGCCTGCAAAGGTCACTTGTGTTGCAGTGTTTCTGTGCTGCGGAGTGGGCTGCCTTCCTAGCTCGAAGGATGAGGGAAGATGTGCCTATCGGCAAGCTTGACCATTGATCCTAAATCCATCCCCTGCCCCTAAACCTGTACCCTGACGAAGCTCTGATGCTCCCTGAGGGTGGCTTGCAATATTTGCTGGCTGGCGCAAGAGCCAACCTGGGTATCCGAAGCGGTTCCCACCTCGGATCTCAGAGACTTGGGTTTCGGAGAGGTGGACCCTCTGGGAATCTCTGGGATCTAGGCCAGCACCTCAAAGGAAGGTGGCTAGATGACTGGGCATTGCACCCCTGCATGTCCATTCAATCTGCCAGGGTTCAGGACACTACTCTCCTCCTGAAGCTCGGGACGGATATCGAGTGAAATCATCTAGTGAAGCATGTGAGTTGGGTGTCGTGCATGCGATGCTCTGCTGCCCTGTTGTAGTTCTATGGTAGCTCCTCGTTTCTCGATGTGAGGAGCAGCAAGCATTCCTGACACGAGTTTTGGTCCACTCCTACGCGGAAAGGTCAATGCGCTGGTGCTGCGTTAGCCTTGTGTATGCCCTTAGTCATGTGTCCATGCATCTGTTCCGACATGTTCCGGGGGGACGAATCCCGAATCCGACTGCCAGCTCGCACTGCGAGACTGACGCTGACAGGACTTTGCACAGCCTGGCTCACGTTGGCTCACGTGTGACGGCTTGCCGCCATACCGCAGTGCAATCTGGGGTGTGGGATGACTTGCAGACCACTTCTGCCTGCACTGCTGCAGCAAATTGCACAGGCTTGCCTCCAGATCAGGCAATCGGAGAACATCAGGAAAATGACGCAACAGGCGTGCGCAATGCCTCAGAGTACTACTGTAGAATCCGAGAGCAAGAAGAGCTAAACCACGCTCCACTTCTACTCCTGCACTCCATTGCAGGCCACAGACTGCCAGATGTCAGAGCCTGACAAGTTTTTTGCACTCAGGTCGCTATATGTATGAGGTTCGCGTTTGCGAGTGCCCGCGACGGGGCCTTAGTGCAATCCGTTGCTTGCACCATTATGAACAGCACTGTGAGCACTGTGATGCGTGGTAGAGATGTTCCTGCATAACCCATATCACGTGTCTGCCGGTTCCAAAAGAAAGTCCTGTGATGTGTTTGTGCAATCCCTTGGCACCTGAGGCCAGGAAGACTGTGTCCAACAAGGAGTCTCCTTCTCGGATGCATGTCGATGCGTTACTTGCGCTTGGAAAGGTGTGGTGCTATGGAGACCAGCCCTGAGGTCAAACCGCCTTTGCCACGAAATCTGCTGCGGATTGGCTTCGGCACGAGAGATGCGGTTCCAGCCTTTGTTAGTGACTTCAAAGCACCGGAAGACTTGCGTGTAGAAGCTGAAGGCAGGGGGCAGGCATGCGGCATGACGTTGTGATGATGTTATTCCCAGAGTCTGAAGATGGAAGTTCGGGAGCAGTGGAGACACCGCTGTGGAGTCAAACTCTATGGTTCACACGCACGCACTCTGCGACGGCAAGGCACGGGTGTGAAGAGATGGGTGACTTAGATGGAGCTTTCCATGCGGTGTGTCGCGCGGACTTGCTCCCAAAAAACTCTTCTTTAGAGAAGAAAGACCTCAGCCTTACTGGAAGGTGACGTGAGGATCACTGACAGCGCAATCTTCATTTTCAAGGCTTTTGCCAATTGCGCAGACGGTGGGAAGCACGTAGGAGTAGATACGGTGAGGTAACAGGTCTCAGGCAGCGCAACTCTTTGCAAAGAGATGGTGGCCGCGACCTGCACCTGCGACGTGGCTTGCACTTCTCCTCTGTCTGCCATGACGGCCTGCGGGGTCTGCCAGAACATTGTGGACTTGGCGTGCCTACCAAGGATGACTCCTCACCGACCCTCCCAACAGAGCTTGGCACAATTGCGCCCGCAGCTAGCGGAGTCATGATGCCTGTGTTTGTCGTCCAAGAACACAGCCCGGTCACAGAACCCTCTCCCACCTTTAAGGTGCTAGGTGCATTGTCTGCCAGCTCCTGTGCTCAACTGAGGTTTTGCTCTTAGGTGATGCTGAGGACAGCATCTCCTTTGACTCAGAGGGCAATTTCATCTTCAACCGAAGGCCCGGGCTTTTGGCATCTATGGCCACTGGATACCGTGTGCGAGCCCGGTGCTGTGGGTGGTTGGGGGGTGGGGGGTTAGGGTTAGGCAGGGAGACGTTGTCTTTGGCATGGATGCTGTACAACGCCTCTATGCCAAGGCATGTTTGACCAGTTGCGTGCCTATTTCACGGGCACATGAGGCAAGTGTGTATGTGCCACTATGTGCCCTAGATCTCACGAGCAGACAATGCACGAGAGAGGCAGGTGCGGAGAGTCCAAAAGCCTGTGCAACTTTTGACGCGGCATGGTCGAACAGGCGAACGCAGGTCACCCAACGCATGACCAGCGGGTCCGCATTGGCCGTGCCGGGCTCAGCTGTCGCGCGAGACCATGATGAACGTGACTTTGACCTGTCCTGATCTGCCAGGCAGCCTGTGCCTCAGAAGTATGTAGGATGTAGGTTTCGCTTATCAGCCGGGGAGGTGGTCAACTTTACCCTAAAAGTTTCAACCCTGTGAGAGCCTTGAGCGTGGCCGAAGCCACAGCCACGCCCAGGTGGAAAGAACGTTTAGATACCACACATGCCACTGGCTGTGGCTTCAGGGCAGGGCTCTTGTCCAGGGTGTGGGTTGCACGTTGGTTTATGGGGTGGTTGGATGTTCGTTGGCGGGAAAAAGTCAGATTTCTGCCAGGCTTTGGAGTTGGTGGTCGTGGGCTTCGGGTCCTCACACCTCATTCGAGCCACAGAGCCTCAACCCACCTTGTGCCAAGGTTATGATTAATTTGACGGAGGAAGGCTGGGTCACCATGCAGAATGCCTAAGCTCCAATGCAGAATGCCCAAGCTCTGCCTAAGTGCCAAAGCCTTTAAGCTCCTGTTCCCTTATCTCCCCCTCTCCTTGAGGGTAAAAAGCCTTGACGTTGTCCCATGCCCTGTGAACTCAGAACCCTCAAAGCCCTTCAACAAAATCACCGGGTGCAGAGCCTGCTAGAATTCGGAATTCCTCCGAACTCAGACTGCAGTGCAACTTCTTTTGAAGCTGCGGCTCGGAGCTGTTGTAAGTCTTTCGTGTAGAGTCCTGAAGAAAGGTCCGCGACCTTATTAGGTGCAACCTTTTCAGAGGCTTTCGGATCTCAGCATTAATGATCGGGCCATCAGAGGCTGTCATTGAGTCATTGAGAACAAGAGGCTGTCACCTCCCTGCCCTGAACTCTATTGAACCGTTGGTCCCGCAGGCCCAGATGCATTCACCATGTCACTCTTCCGGGATGGCGAGCGGATAACCAGGCGCAGGGATGGGTTTTGGGTTGTGTGGAGCATGGTAAGTTCTCCAAATTCTGGTTTCTATCAGGAGTACTTCTATGGACGTGCAAAGTTTAGAGAGCTGCTTGGCAGACCTTTTGAACCTTTGAACCTTGGAAGCTTCGGTAGCGAGGCCCTGTTTTCGGAGTTCGGCTTCCAGCATTGGGAAGTTTAGGAAGTTTAGACATGTCCAGCAGCTGAGCCTGCCACCGATCCGATCCTAATCAAAAGGCAACTTTGGGGAAGGAAATCCCTTCCTTGCTCAGGTCACGCATGTCCCGTTCGGAACGGGCCTCGAAATCGAAGAGCGAGAACTTCAAACATCTCAGCCCAAAGCAGGAAAGCTCTCAAGACATCAGCCAAGCCCCAATAGCAGCTCTGCTTTGCAGGCCGCAGCCGATCCCTGAGGTTTTGAAGGGAAAACCGCTCTTTCCCATGGCCGCTTGGAAGGATGAGCCAGATTCGGCTTCAGGAGGGTTTCGGCTGTCGGGTCTTGGGCACGGCGTTCCGGATTCATTGCAGTAGCTACCCAATCGACAGGAACTGACGGTGGCTTCAACTTTATGGTCGATTGCTACCGAACATCTGCAGATCAAGCTCAGCATCGTACTTTGCAGAATGTAGGAACATATGATGGGTTGTGCTTTCGCGTTGGTATGACAATGAATGGCGCAATAAGCAACTGTGACTTTTAACGATCTTGTGTCGTGAGGAAGCCTTGGTTAGAGAGTGCGGAGGCTTGTTTCACGCACGTTTTTATGTAAAAAGGGGTACATGCAGGGTCAAATCGCATGAGCCTCCAGCCTCGTAACGGTGCTGTCGCCTCAGAACGGCCCGAAAAGATGAAATCCAACTCCTTGCGAGACGAACCCTTGTGGCCACCCTTGGCAAGCCCAGATTACCTTCAAGAATCTCACGGCCGCCGGCTTGGATCTGGGGAATGCTTCACGTAGATGCAGCATCGTTGTACTTCGAGTTCTGTGCTTCGGGACGAAGCCTTGTACCTCGCAAGGGCTGCACAACGGTTCTAGCATCTTTGCTAAGTTCCCCGCACATGCGGGTCTACGGTGGAGCTAAGTTTTTGTGAAACCCAACACTAGGAACTACAATCTAAAACGTTTGAGAAACGGCGCTCAGGTTTCCAAGCCTGCTGCAATCCCGTCCTGAGTCATTCCAAGCTTTCAATACAATTTGTTGGGGCTGGGGGTGAGGTTTCTAAACCACCTGACCACGCTGTAGCTGCCTTGGTGCTTAAGCCCTCATCGCGCATGACTCAAGCAGCTCAAACGGTTTCGAGGACTAGAGAGTGTGCACTTTAGAGGTGAGCGACAACACAAAGGTAGTTCAGGTGTTCGCGCCCGCAACACTAGACTGTCGTAAGCTTCGGCGAGCCCAAGCCCTAAAGAAAAACTTTAAGCCCTTCCCAACACCTTGACCGCAGGTCTTGAAAAAGATGACATGCAGCTAAAAATTGTAGAGCCAAGAACAATCTTGTAGCAATGGAGAAATGCACTTTGACCTGTACCAGCTCATACCTGCCGAAGACCTTGCCGCGCCTGGCGTCTCACAGGTTCACGTGAACTTCGGACCGGAGCCCTTGGCGGACTTGCCATTCAAATGTCGTGCCTCGTAGAAATGATTTCCTTTAGCGTTGGGGATGGCTTGGGAATTTGCAAGGTTTCTCTCTTGCGTCGGGGAGAAGGGGTCAAGCGTTTTGAGATTGGACTGCCTCGGGTTTGGGGGCTTGCGTCTGGGCCCCAAAACCCGACCACGTGACAGCGTGTAGGAGCTGCAGGCAGGCCCAAACAGTAGAATAGTACTCAGCCCTCGAAAAGACTGGGTGGGCTGTAGTACGCAGTAGCGTGCCCACCGCTTTGCCTTGCTTCTCCGACATCATTGACAGCCGGCTAAAGACTCGAGATTTGCATATTGGCATCGCAGATGTTGTCCTGTTTTTGCATCTAGCTGAAGACTTTGTGCCACCGAGGCTGTTTTACTCCAGGTTGGCCCTAAAGCTACAAGATCCTCTCAAAGGGGAGGTTTAGGGAGCAGCGACTTATCAAAGCAACGGCACTTAATTCTCAGCTCTGAGACGTTTTAATTACACTGAACAACGATGAAGAACTCTCCGTTTTTTTCAGAACATCTCTAGTGGCTGAGGCATGATGAATGATGCGGCAGAGGCGGATGTCGCCTGTCTGCCATGCAAGACAAGGTGCAAGGTTGTTTTTGGCAAGCCCACGTGATTTGTTAGGTGGAGCTTGGGAGCTTAAGGTCGAACTTCGGGTGCCTTGTATGTTCAGTTTTGGGTTGCGTTTCGGATTACAAAATCTCTTGCCTTTTTTCAGCATAGGCCAGCACCCTTAAGACAGAGCAATCATCCCTGCACAGCTCAACCGATAGCAGAGCCGAATTAGATCAGAGCCGAAGGCCCGAAACCCGCCATGAGAGTCTCCAAGGTGGCCCACATCAAGTACCCGCAGCCGGCGGATGCACGGCCAGAGGTACCCCTGAATGGGCTTGAGTCGGCTTGAGGGCCTCCCTTAGGGTTGAGAGTTTGAGAGCTTCGGCGTGCTGTTTAGGACAGTGACTGGCTCAGGCGGGTGTAGTGCTCTAGAAGCCGCAACCAGCGCCAGGTGCTTTTTCCGGTGTTCTTGCCGGGAGAGGGCACCTTCCACTGGCTCGACTGGCCTCTTGGGCTTCTTTATGGCAGGGATGCTTTTCGCTGCCGGGGGAGGGTTCTCGAGTTAAGCACTTTTGGGGAGTTGGGTCATTTAGACTGCGTGCGGGCCGAAACCTCGCTATTTGCTGTATTTTCCTGTGGTCACTTCGTCGACATTTATTTTCAGCACATTTGGCACTTTGCAACGGCGAAAATTATTCTTTCTAGGTCGGGATGCAGGGTCTGGGGCAGGGTTTTCATCTTTTGCTGCCCCTTTGCGATGCACAATAGAAGCAGTGACGTGCGACACATACAAAGTTTCACCAGAAAGCCGTGTTGCCAACACCATCCAAAACCCACATTTTTCCGAAATCAACAAACATGACACGGCAGCGAAAAACCTACTCCCCTTGTTTATGGGCTCAGGGTTGTGTGCTTGGAGGTTGCCACGTAGGAGGTGTTTAGCGTCTGAGCTGAGGGCTCTGCCGATTGCATGCGTCAAGCTAGCCAGGCCCAAGGAAAACTGTTTTGTCAAAGCACCCCAAGCAGTCAACAACAAGGAAGGCCTGAATCTGTAGACCATTTGCAAGACCTGCCAAGCCCTAGTGCCCCTATGGTGCCCCTATGGTGCCCCTGTAGTGCCTCTGAGAGCTCGGTCTTTGCAATCCTCCGTCTCCAGGTTCCTCACCGAGCATCCCGAGTTCACTGAGATCAGTGACCGGAAGATGGTGGACTGGTGCCGGTCTTAGTGGGTCACAGTTTTGTGCTGCCTCTAGATTGGAGATGAAGGGCTTTATGCCTCGGCATTGGTTTCACAGGGTAACCTCAACAGCCATACCTACGATTTGAGCAAAATCGTGAAGGCTTGAGCCCTAACGACCCAAATCCTAAGCCTTGACGCAGAACCGGCACTACGAATCTTGTCTCCAGGTGCCTCAAGAGCGGCATCAAGCGCCATTGGCGAGACGCAACGAGGCTTCTGCCCACCCTGCAAAGACAAGGGAAACGCTTTGCTGCGTTTTTCATGGGTTGTAGTACGGTACAGTATTGTTGCTTCTTCGGCTCAGGGATTCAGAGTTTGAGAGCTTGGTCATCCTGGTAGTCGACACTTTCCAAAGATGGTGAGCTCCAGGTGAAGCTGCGACTCTTTTGAAGGGGACAAAGGTTGCACAAGCCCACCCCCTCGACCCCAATAGGGTCGGGGGTCCGCTGGTAGTGATTCAAGGCGTATGCCCCAAACGCCGGTTTGAGGATCTTCTGTCAGTTGCGGGACGTTGCCTTTTCTTCAAGTCAAAGACCCAATCGCAACAAAAACCTTTGCAAGATGGAAGTGTCCCGCTCAGGGCTTCCAACGACAAGCCGGCCGGTCGGCTCAGTCTGAGCAGGGGGTATGGAGCGTGATTTTAAGTTCATGGTCTGATGAGTTGAGAAGCATCTTGTTCAAGAAGTCGTTGGGTCTATAGAAGACCAGCGCTGACAAATTTGAGGAAACCTTTGATAACCAGGAGTTTGGGCAGGGCACGATTATAGGGCTCAGGGCTTTCATTTTTTTCAAGGATGATTCGAGGGTTTGGGTTTTCGTGTTGTTTTGGAACGCCGGCTCTTTATGAGTTCCTGGACGGAGCTCAAGCATCGGCTCATATAGGTCAGCGTTTTTCATATTGCTGCCTCGACATTAGACCCTAGATGCTGAGCGGGAGGCCATCACGCCCTGATGAAGGGATGCCATATTCATCAGGCTTTATGGTTCAGAGTAGGAGCTTACGGGATAGAAGTTTGGAGTTTAGGTTATCGCTTGTTCTTGCTCTTGTTGTTGTATGCGTTGTTTGCATTGTTATTGTTGTTCTTAAGGTTGTTATTCTTGTTGTTCCTTCTGGAAATGTCTAGATTCTGTTCGAGCAATCTCGCATGCAGAAGGACTGCCTGATTCATAGCTGTGTCAGTCCGATTCAGCGGATTGCTGTGAATCACTGATGTGGTTCTGGAGTGGCGGAACAATCAATGTACCTGCATTTCCCAACAGGTTCGTGACATCATCCTGTCACATAAGCTGTTCATGGTCGTCATAGTGCCTGTTCTGACGCATTGTAGCCTGTTCATCAGATGCCTAAATGGCTCCGACCTTAGCTGACTCAAGAAATTTAAAACTCTGAATCTTGGTCGATACCGATCATTGCTATACCAATGTTTCAGAAGTCAGTCCCCAATGTTGCTGGTGACATAGTCAAGGCAACCCAGCAAGTTCACGAAGGTTCGTTCAGGCACCAAAAAGCAATGGAACTGCATCAACATCCTAAACCGCAGCAATCAAACTGCCTACGTT